CCGCAGTATGAGAACAATCCAACCGGGCCATGTTTGATATTCATCAATGTCGGAAATAATATCCACTTCCGTCTGAAATCATTATTAAAATATATTTAATATATTATTAATAAAAAAAACAATATTCAAAAACTATAAACTAACCTTGTCCCATATATAAAGTAATACGTGAAATGCACAATATGGCACCCAAATGCTCATAAGAATAATCCAGCCAGATCGACTGATTTGTTGGCGGGTCACTGCCCAACCTTTGGCAAGTAAGAGTAATATTAGCATAAATGTCGTCTATGCGAAAATATATAAAATATTAGATAAAAAAATTATAATATAATGCTTAAACATACTCTACTAAAAATATCTAAAATATCTCCAGCTGCTTGCATATTCGGTTCACCGACACCATTTAGAGCGAAATTGGTCAGATGCGCTGTTATCATTGTTAAACTAACAAATTCGCTGAGTAAACTTAGTGTAAACAATTTTGTTACAGGGTGTTTTTGTAGACGTACTGCATAAATTTGGACTGGCAGTAGTATAACGTAAACAAGTAAAAATATTAAATACATTTCCAATAGATTCTGTTGGTCGTATGAAAATTGATAGGTTAACGGATGAGTGGCCGAATTATTTGGATGATTATTGACCACATGAATATCATATTCCAAGGTATGTGAAAAAATATCTGCCAAAGTTCTTGTTGATGTTATTTTCACTTTTGTTTTATTGCCAAACTTCATCGGATCGTATGCATGCCATTTGCAGGTTGTTCGATTGCGGAAACAAGCCACCATTGCAACATACCAAAATCTGCAAAATCAATAGATATATTAAATATAATTATTAATATATTTATCATATAAATAATAAGCATTATTTTATAGTACACTAATGGTTTTTTTATTATATATACATTATTATACAGAAGAGAATTTAATATAGGTTTAATATAGGTACTAATAAATCTAGTTAAGAACCTTCTGTGTATAATTATTAATTTATTTACTATAACCCTTATTTACTAAAACTATAACCCGCTTTTGTCCATTTTTTCTTTATGAGTATGTGATTAGTATTAAATTAGTATCGATACCTTAGTTACCTTAGTCAATAATGAAAGAAATCATTCGATTACTGCTAAGTATGCAGGTGTACCATATCCCCTTGAAACATTCACAAACCCTGTAAATTGATTTTACAGAATTTACAGATTTACACCGTTCCACCAACAGAAAAAAAAAATAATAAACCTTTATTGCATCGGTTGGAGCCTATCTTTGGATACGAAGCTAAGTTGATGATTAAAAAAGTTGAACAAATAAAGCTTTAGTCGGAATCGTATGTAAAGCGTTGATTTCATAAAAGCTGTAATTCTTTGGAACTTATCTAAGGGTTCAAGAATAATATTCTAGAAAAGATGGGCCATAACATTAGCTGAATAAAAGCTAATGTGAGAACTGAGATTAAACTAAATAATGCTTTAGTTGGAAGCGTAAAAAGCAGCAGCCCTTTTGACATTATTTAAGGCTTTACGATTATTATTTTAGAAAAGATAAATAAGCGGTAGTTCTTCTAATTTTATTTAAGGATTTCAGATTAATATTTTAGAAAAAACGGGCGATAACGCTTAGGAAGCCTTGCAGGCTACAACAACATAACACTAGAAAGCAGTACGTGGTAGAATTAACTTTATGTAACTGAATAAATCTAATAGCTAATGCAAAGACTGAGGTTCAACTAAATAATGCTGTAGTTGAATTCGTATGTGAGGCCTGTCATCATGAAAGCCTTATGACCTTATTTAAAGGTTTAAGATTAATATTTTAGAAAAATAGGATCACTTCACTAGGTAGAGCTGTATGGTAGAATCAAATTCAATATAGCCGTATAAATTTAATAAGGTTTGTCAAGATTGTATTCTATAGATTTCCTACAGCTTTATTCCAATCCAGTTTAGAATATAAGAAAAACCTCGAAATTCTATATATTCTATATAATTTGGTTCCAGAAGGGTGAATGACTGTAGTTTATATTTTTTAGTGAAAAGTAAAAGTTCAGTTTTGATTAGACCTTAGTTTACAAACTTTAACGATTCAAAGAGAATTTTCTGGACGTGTTTTAATATTTCTGCTAAGAAAACATAAACCAAACATTAACAAACTTCATTTTAAAAAATATAAAGAACATTAATTAATTTAATGATATTTAAAACATTTAATTTCTTAATAGAAAAAGGAGACATGGAAATATTTAAACTACAGACCCTTAAAGTCTTTTTACTTCTCGAACCGCATAAATATATGATGTGTTAACTTATAAAGTCTAATCAAACTCAAATTTTCGCCATATGTTGGGTAGAGATAAATCTATTAATAAATTAAAGTTAATAATTACCGTAATCACCGTAATCAGTAGTAAAACTAATAAATTTTACAATCTTAAACAATGATTTGGATTTTCGAGTTTCACACTTGTGGTTTGGTTATTGATTTAATTGATAAGGAAATTAAAAATAGCTCTAGACACTTTAGTAAAGAAACATTGGTCATCGGTAGAAATTTATTATGCAGATCATATATATCATATAAAAATACTCCGAAGGGGGTTTAGTAGAAGTGTTTATCATAGCAGAGATAAGAAAAAAGAAAAAGAAACAATTTTGTTTATAATACAAAATTGAAAGAATTTTTATAAATTTATAACCTAGAACTATCTCTACAGATAATTTTCCTTCTGTAAATTTCAGATCGTCAGAAATGTTTTTCAATACGTCAATACTGATGGGATAGTTAGTTGATTTATTATATAAATAGCACAAAAATATTTTAAAATATGTGATAAATTGTTTTACTAGAAATAAATAGATCAAAACGTGCCATAGCTTAGTGGAACCTTAACGAAAATAGAGATATATTTGTTAAATTAGTGAATATGAATCAGCTCAGCGTTGCCATTTGTCTATGAGTCTCTATCAATAACTACTATTACAAGATTAATAAATTTACTTTCTAAAATTTTGATAGTTTTATTGTCTTCAAAATAAATGTTTAACTATATAAGTTCCCATATCGGTGGGGGTTCCAAAAAGAAATGTAGTTAAATTATCAATCGGCAATAAATTTTGATATACCATAAAAGCATATTGTCTTGATTTTTTTATCTGTGACAATCGCAATGGAAGACTGTCATATACTTGAGTTTGCAAAATAAAAAATCAAACCTATAGCAAATAAATTGCTATAAAAGGAGTAGACAATTACTTTTAGAAGTAGTTCAAAAAATGAAGACTTTATTATACGGTGTCGGTGTTTTAACATTCCTGTTAGCAGCAGGATATGTATCTGCAGGAGAAAGGCCCATCTCGGACTGTGTAATTAAACTGTTATAAACAATTATAACAATTTATTTGATGTAAATTGTTTTTTTTGTATTTGATATATTTGAAAATATAGGGAGAACGTATTGAGAATGATGGATATCCAATGGAGGAGCATACAGTAACAACAGATGATTCATACATTTTGACAATGCATCGCATACCATACTCAAAGAAAACCGGCCCAACCGGTGACCGTCCAGTTGTATTCCTAATGCATGGCATGCTCAGTTCATCGTCTGATTGGGTTTTGATGGGTCCCGGTAAAGCACTTGCATATATACTTTCCGATGCTGGTTATGATGTATGGATGGGCAATGCACGTGGTAATACTTATTCAAAGAAACATAAGTATTGGCCAACATACTGGCAAATATTCTGGAATTTCAGTTGGCATGAAATTGGTATTTACGATGTGCCAAATATGATTGATTACATACTTAAATATACTAAAAAATCACAATTGCAATATGTTGGTCACTCTCAGGGTACTACTGTATACTTGGTTATGATGTCTGAAAGACCTGAATACAATAATAAGATTAAGTCAGCTCATTTATTGGGTCCAGCTGCTTATATGGGTAATATGAAGAGTCCATTAACAAGAGCTTTCGCACCAATATTGGGACAACCTAATGCAATGGTTGAACTTTGTGGTTCTATGGAATTCATGCCTAGTAATCAATTTAAACAAGATATGGGTATAGCGACTTGTCAAGCAACTTCACCATATGCAGAAATGTGTGCCAATGAAATCTTCTTAATTGGTGGTTATGATTCAGAACAATTGGATAGAGTAAGTACAATATCTAATACAATATTATTGATACTCTATAATTGTGTCTTTAATTAATTAAAATATAGGATTTACTTGAACATATCAAAGCCACTTCTCCCGCTGGTGCTTCTGTTAACCAAAACTTACATTTCTGTCAGGAACATAATTCAAAGAAATTCCGCAAATTCGATTATAGTGTTATACGTAATCCCTATGAATATGGTACTATGTATCCTCCAAATTATAAAATCAAAAACGCTTTGGCACCAGTGATGTTGTACTATGGCGCCAACGATTGGATGTGCGATCTTAAAGATGTGCTACAACTACGCGATGAATTACCCAATGTACATCTCGATTATTTGGTAGAATTTCCAAAATGGGCTCACTTGGACTTTATTTGGGGTACTGAAGCTAAGAAATATGTATACGATAAAGTCTTGGAAATGATGATTGATTATGAATAAATGTACAATAAATTGTTTATTGTGAAGTTTTAAAGCAAAACCAACTTTTTTGACTTTTTTTTCGATCTGTATATTGACTATATAACAGATAAGAAATTTTGATTTCGGTTTTTAGTTAAGCTGTACTTTTTATATTTCATTATTATTTTTTGACTAATAGTGTAATTGAAAAATTTCAAAAATTAGAGAGTTTCGGTTATTTGGATGACAGATATTTAAGATATAAAGAGTTCCACGACTGAAGATTTGTTCGGTAGAGTTTTTTTTGGACATCCAAAGCTTACTTCATAATGAGACTTCGAGAATCTTCCTTATAGTTACAATATAATTTTAAATATTTATTGACTTAGAGAATTTTATGGTATCGAGAATTTTATACCATAAATTTAATTAATTTCCCGTTTCCTAGTCCAAAAACCATTAACTTCAGTCCAATCGATCTTTGGCTTTGTTCCATTGAAGTGGCTAGGTTTCTCTGCTTTGATTTAGGATGACTTCAAATAAAATCGAACCTACCACTACCGCTTATTCTTACACGTAAACAATCCACTCCAACCCCCGAATTTCATACTACTATTAGCTATCCACACCCTAAACGTAGTACATGCATTTGCAATTTTTTTCATATTATTTGTTCGATGGATATCCGCGGTTCACCACACAACAACAAAGTATTCTTCTAAGCCTAAACTATTTACAGACCTATATATTTTTTTAATATTATCTAATCTCTCTCTAGTCTCTTTCTATGACTTGACATATATTTATTATTATGTGGGAGTTGTTTTGAGCCAGTGCACTTAAGCACTTTTACTCTTGCTTAACTCGAGGTATTTACAAAACCGGCCTTTACACCTTGTCTAGATTATCACTTCATCATACTAAGCAATAATTAACCTCAGATCTGCATAATTAAAGTGAAATAAGATTCTAACTAAAAAGCTTAAAAGCCTAGAAACCTAATACGGAGAAATTAAAGCTAATATTACTCCACGATTCATACAAGTGAGACTATATAAATTTGTGTTTTAGGTCAGTTATGATGGCAGTGACTATTTTACTTAATATAAATTATTGTATTTAAAAGAGAGGTTTCGAACAGTAGCAAACTACAACAACAATATTTTTTTTTATTAGTTTAAGAAGTACCTTTCTATATCTAAAGTCTTTACACTATGTATTTAATTAGGTATGAGAAGTATTATAGTCTTTAATATTGAAACAGATTTAAGGAATATTCTAAGAGGAATTAATGATCAACTAAGAATAAGAAGTATCTCTTTATAAATTATAGTTAGTTCAATGGCTTTACGACTTCCTCGTGTTAATTTTTGGAAGTGTGTTTGCTTCTAAGTTATAATGAATGGAAACAACTACAGAGAAATATAATGTCTCGAAACAGTTATCAATTATTACTTTGCTAATTTAAAACTAATTTAAAACACGTTTTAATTTCAGTGGAAAAAACAAGACTGGTATACTTTTACTTTCAATGACGGGCGAATAAAGCGAAGAGGCATAATGAGAAGACAATTCACGTTAATAACTTTGTTGAATTAACAGTTCGGCATGAATGGTAGGTAATACCGATTGCTGCGTAAACAATAAACAGAACCGTATGGTTTTGTATTGTTGATATATACACGCGTATGTTAACGTAAATATGTTTATATATAAAAACAGATTTTGTTTTGAAGGTTTATTTAGAGCAGTCTGTTTAGGTGAATTTATTTTTCTTTTCTGTTTGCGAAGCGAAACAGATTGCATTTAAAAAATATTTAATAACAATTTCCGTGACGTAGAAAATTAAATTTCTACAATGGAATATAATAGCTTTTGTTAAATGTTTCTTATCTAATATGCCAAATGGCATGTAAGTTACAAGTTTACCGTGCTTATCACATTCCTTTATCTAAGGTGTTAGAATAATATTAGGGTAAATTTGATAAAATGACATGTACTTCTCCTCCAACACTTACCGTGGTTGTTGTACTTCACTGATAACATAAGTGAATTGATTTCCAGGCACAACGTTTCCAGGTGCATCTTCATCTACACACAATTCGCCCTGTGGACACGGCACACGTCGCAAAAAATCTCGTTTTGCGTGTGTATTGCAAGCAGAGTCATAAGCCAGTATTTGCACCCGTCTAAACATGTGCTGGCACGCACTTTCACGATTGTAATAGGTGCGATTGCTGTAGAAATCCACAAAAGTTGCCTTGTCCAGTACAACCAGTGTTACTGGTGTTGCAAATGAATCCTTCGATGTTATGTTGCCATAGATATAACCAAAAGATTCACGTTGCGAGTGTGCCTCCGCCTTTTGGAAGCCAAACTTGACAATGAACTTGAAGAATTCTTGTGTATTGAATACTCCTTGTACATGTGTGCCATCACTTACACACCATAGTTGTTGGAACGCCAATAGCCAGTAGAAGACCAGCAGCCATGACCATGACGGTTGTTGCATTGCGTTTTATTGCAATTTGCAAAAACAAATCGTTAGTGCACCAATGTGTATATTTTGTTAGTGTCTCCAGCAATTTGCTGCTGGGAGACAATTATTAATTGTGGCCAATATGTTTTTATATGTATATTTCCATATATTTTGCTTTGCAATAATTTGTTAATATTTTTCACACAACGTAGTTATCATTTTTTTTAAGATCTCAATATATTTTCATTCACACAACCACACGCAATTGTAGCAAAATTGATAAAAACAACAAAACACAATTGACGCTGTCATTTCAATAATATTCACCACACACAATTTGTATTCTTAGACTTGCCAACTAACAGTTTTTTTGTGGTGAATTTTTGATTTTTGTGGCAAGTCTTTCATTTTTGTGTTACATTGTTTATGCATTTTTTCTTAAGTTTTAAAATATAAAAAAAAAACTAAGTAACTATTTAATAAATGAAAAATTTTATTATTTTATTTACATTATTAGATTGTGTAAGGATGAAAAAATGTACTAAATTATGTTTTATATTAATATATATTGTATATGTTATATTCTGTATCCACTCAGCTGTAAGATTTTATGTGTTAAAAGGTTCCTTAAAAGTTTTAAGAGAGCTTCTGCTTGTTGAGAAAAATTTTATTCAATAATATGTCTGTCCCACAAGTTTCTCGTAGTAAACTCGAGTAAAACACCAGTACAAACTATGGGCGTAACACAAAGCAAAAATAATAAAATTTATTATTTTTGCACAAAGTAGCAGATTACGCTTTTTACACAAATTTTAATGAAACATCATTATGTAAAATCTGGCGAGAACAGATTTGTTTTTGAAAAACAAAACAGTAGAAATAGAAAGAACAAACATAAATATTTTTAAAAATTATTAAAAAATAATTTTTAGTTAAATTGAAATTTTATTTTAATAAAGCGAGTTAGAGTATTGTTGGTGATTAAATTTAATATAAAAAATGTATTTTATATTATTATTACAGACAAATATTAACTCGAAGTATATTAATTACTTTATATTCTGGCTGTGTTGTATTATTTAGTTTACTTAACAAAACACTTATGTTTTTTGATCCATTTCTCTATTGATTTATTTATAACAATAATACAATTAATATTTTAGATTTTTTTGCTTTCACCAGTGCCGCGCAAATAAACAATACGAACATTTAAATCAAACTAAAACAGCTAATTTACACATCAACACAAATATTACCTGAAATTAAATGTACGATTGAAGTCTGTGTAGCATTTTCAAATTTCGACGGGGATGTTATGCTCTCTTAGATGCTCTCTTTAACTCGAAATTTTACTGGTGGAATTCACTTGTTTTTCACAGAGTTACTCAAAGTTACTACTACATTTAAAAATTTAAATGTATAGTTGATATATTAAATCATATATATATATATATATATATATATACTAGCTGACCCGGCGAACGTTGTTTCCCCTTGCAATTAATTTTCCTGGCGTTCGTTGCGTTGCTCTTGACTTTCATTAGCACGTGTAATTCTATCCTGGTTTCTTACATCTTCATTGTTTTCTGCCGATCTATTTAACCGACGGTTCTGGAGTAATTGTGAATTCCGAG